TACAAATAGTAGAAATATATGTATTATACATATGTTACTATTTTATAAATTACTTAATAAAGATACGAGCAAGACTTCACCTTAAAAAAAAAAAAAAAAAAAAAAATCTAATAAAATACTAACATAATTATTTATAACAAAAAAAATAAGTATACTATTAAACCATTATGTTTTTGAGAGTTTATCTTAAATCTAAAATTTGTTTTATAATATATCTTTATTATTTTGATATTTAATTTAAATTTTACTAAACTTTTAGTTCAAATAACTTAGAAAGATAAATATAACTATATTTCTAATTTATATATTCTTCAATATATAACTTTTTCTCTGTTATTCTTTTTAAGATTCTGATAGTCTGACTGGTTACAATGATTTTTTCTAAAGACCAATATGTTATTTAGCTTTACAAGTTCTAGTTTTATTTTCTAGATCTAGTCTTTATAGTAATAATATCAAAAATTTAAATTATCTCTTTACTTGAATATTTCAAGTGAACTTCTATCTTCCTGGTTTCTATAATTTACATAACCATAAACATTTATCATGAATTCTTACCATCCAATATCAGTTTGTGTTTCTTTGTATAAGATACAAATATTGTATAAATGTTATGTAACCTTTTAGTCATGCTGGTATAATATAGATAACAAATATTTGATTCCAACTAATATCAAAAAATAGTTAACTATAATATAGAAAGAATTTCAAATTTTCATTAATACTGAAATTTGAACTTTAAACCTATTACTTGGGATTGACAACATGATTACTTCACTATGTCACTACATCTCATTTAATTAGTTAATTTATGAAACCTATAAGTTAATTTTATTATATAATTTTATATTCTAATGTTTAAAAATTCATATCTTAATTAGTTTTTAACCAATTTTAATAATTTTATTATAATTAGAATTAAAAAGACCTACTCTACAACTTTTACTTAATGATTAAAATTAAGTTACTTCATATAATTTTTTATAAATTAAATATAAACAAATTTTATTATTAAATTTATATACAATTTTAAAATTATGCCCTTTACCCAACAGGAGGAACCGTTCAATGTTACACATTAATTCTTCACTCAATGTAGTCAATCAATAATAAAATTATTTATTTTGTGTTTACTCTAAAATGTATGTTATGGATATAATCCCTCGCCCCGTCGTTCACGCGGGGTGATCATTTAAACTGAAATTATTTATATGTAACTTCAAGTGTAATGGATATAATCCCTCACTTGGTGTAACATTAAGGGTTCCTCCTGTTCCTTTACCCTTAAAATCTTTACCATAAGAATCGTTATAGAGATAATTATAATCAAATGTATATTCATTAAAATGTATTACCAATTTAAAATTTACTCAAAAAATAAATTATAATAAAACTATTTATTTTAAAAAAAATTGCACCAGTACAATTTACATTCCTTTTAACAAATAACATGTGTTCATTGGATGCGGATCACGATAAACACGTATTAATAAAACATATAACAAAAAAATTTATATATGATATGAGATAAAAGTTATTTATTACATATACAATATCAATATATCATTTATTTATATTTCACCGAACCGATACATTATTGTAATTAATCGAAATATCGGATAATTAAATGGATAAGCACTAATGAGAAAACTTCAATTATATCATAATTTGTATATAAAAATTTTACGTAAATATAATTATAGTTGTGCACGATTACGATCACTCGCTAATCACATCGGGGTTGAGACCCTAAGGATCCTCAAACTCCAATAAAAAGAATTGAAATAAAACCAACAAAAAGAGTAATTACGCCAATATGAGGTGAAACCATAGCGACAGAGTTAGTAGGAGCGCTAACCACTTGAATATCAGCACATTGATACCAAGAAGCATTACTACCATCAGATAACTTGAAAACAGCTTGAAGAACGCCTTGAGAACCAACGGTTGCGTTAGCTCTAGTCAAGTTGACAGTAACTGACTTTGGAGCGTTCGTGAGCTGAGAATATGTTTCAGGGTCTTGATTATGAAGACGAACAATGAAATGAATAAATAGTACACAAATTTAACAATACAAAACACGCGTATGTTAAATAATTGTGGCGGCTTAAGCTGGGGATTTCAACTTATTTTGATATTAAAAATTTTTAAATTTCTAGGGCCTTTTTGTTGGCTTTTTTTTAAAGTTAGGTTAGGGTTTATGGGTAGTTTTATTAATAAACCGGTATTGGTGTATTTTAGTAGGTATTGTAGGTTTAAATAGGGGACCCCAAATCCCAGCATAAGCTGCCGCAAATAATTACCTGATACTGGAAGAAAGGAGGAGTTTGAAGTAAGTGCATAATAATATGTAAGAGTTCCATCACCATCATAGAAGTAACTTGTAGCACGACCTTGCGCTATATGAAATAAATACAAAATTGTTAATATTTAGCAGAATTAGAAGAAACAATCGAAAAAGTTTTAATAATTTTAACTTACAAACAGGAAACTTAGTTATTGCAGATGCATTGACCGAGTCAAACCCACCACAAGGAGAATTTGGCTCTGTGGTTTCTTCGAAACCTCTAGTCGGAGGATTCTGCAATTGGTAGTGGGAATCCGCAATATTAAAAATAACGAAAAGAATTAGAAGGTATGAAGTGATTAATTTCATAATAAAAGTATTTGGCGTTATTGTTTAAAGTTAATTCTGCAAAATTTCGAATAAGTATCCTTATTTAAACATTAATTCATTAATTCGATTAAGTTGAGATCCATGTTACACTTTCCCCTATTTTTTCGATTAAGTTACGATCCATGTTTCACATGTGTTACACTTTTCCCTATTTTTTCCGTACGTGTTAATGATCGCAAAATTTAAACATTAATTACATTAATTCATTAGTTAGATTAAGTTACGATCCATGGTTCACATGTGTTGCTCTTTTCCCAATTGTTTCCGTACGTGTTAATGATCCGTTACATTAGTAACCATTTTAAGTGGTGTGGACGAGAGCCTGTTTTGATTTTTTGTTTATTATTTTATTATTTCTATATTTGTCTCTTTCTCTTCCGAATTAGAAGTAAGCAAATGATTAAGATTATCGGTAATAATTATCTACTAAAAACGAAGTGATAATTTCTAAAATCAGAAGAATTCAGGTTCCAAGTCTTCAATGTCCTAAAATATAATGTTACTATTATGAATCAGTTGCCAAATGTTATTAAATATATATATTATTGATCGCTGCCTTGATTACGTTATTACTTGATTAATACTTAACTGTTAAGATGTAATCGATAAAAAATTTACACAAAAGTGTACCATGTGACCCAAACCCGTCGTATTAACGACGTGTTACTAATGAAACTAATATTAATGGCTTATACGTACGCCCAAACAAAGTAATTTTGAATTGTGTGATACAAAATAAACTAACCTAATAAAATCAATATCGATACGTATTTTAATGGTTTATACTCTCAAACAATAGCGATAGGAATGTTGAATTACGTGATACAGAATGAACTTTAAGGATAAATTAATACAATAAATTTCTTTCATGTGTACTTTCATATTTAATCCAAAATATTAACTCTTGGCAATTTTATTTGTACACTGTAAAATTTTAATATAACCCTAACCTTAAAACTTAGTAAAATTTTTGTCTTGTTTATATATTATACAAATTTGTGAATCAATAAATCAGTACCCGTGTATAAACATTATGTGTAAACTAATAAATTGAAATTAATTGTTATGTCGAGCATAACAGATGATTGGCTGATCATCTCAGCATATTGTTAAAGTAACGAGAAAGTACACCTCGGATCTATGACGTACTGAAATAGCTTGGTAATTGACGAGGTAATTCAGAAGTTAGATGAGAGGTGTGTTTAAACATTTCAATTTAAAGCTCGGTAATTTGTTTAAGAAGGTTATTTCAAAAAAAATTTTTTATTACTGTATGTTACCAAACAGAAGCAACCAAAATGTTTTAAAGAAAAAAAAAAGAAATAAGGGATTGCTTATATTCGAGTCCAATTTTGCTAGTAGAATATAACAACTAAAGTTAGGTTTTTGGTGCCAAAATTTAGAGGGTTACTTGTATTCAGTGATTGCTATGAATCAATAATTTATTTATATGTAACCCTAAAGACAGTATTACAGTATAACCTCGATATAACAAACCTCGATAAACCGAATCTGTCACCATAACGAAAATTTTTTTCAGTTAAAATTTTTTATTACAAAAGTACCTCAACATACCGAATTTTAAATCTAAAATCTTGATATACTGTATAACAAAGAAATTTTTTTATTTATAATAAGATAACCTTGATATAATGAATACCTTATATAACAAAAATGTTCAGCAATACAGTAAATTATTGAGTGACATGAATAATCTTACTCTAACAAAGCTTCAGAGTTATATAGGTATTTGTATTAGCAAAATTTTAAGCAGATTTATGTCAATATATAGTATTTAATCAATTATATTAATTAATTATTATATATTGATATATATTACTAGTAATATATAATAATTATAAATGATTATTATTATTTATTTTTTTTTTGTTAAGGTAATCTCTTGGGTCTTTTGACTTTATTTAACAATGGTAAATATGGTTCAGTGAATCACTACAAGAAGAGCATACAATTGGTTACACATGTAACTTTTTTATATTACTTATTTAAGGAGTCCACCCAAAGGTTTCTTACCAATTGCTGTACCTAATACTCCTGTTTGGGCATTTTACTTTAAACCTTCTGAACCTATAAACCTGTTAATTTCACTGAGTCATATCTGATGTTCAGATTATTATCTCAATTTTAAAACTATTTTATCTTTAAGGTAAATTTTAAAACTATTTTATCTTTAAGGTAAACCTTCCAAAGTCTTCTGTATCTATTTTTATAATTGATCTAGGTATTATTATAACAGAGTCAACACTTGCAGTTAGGGTTTAACTATTAAACCATTATGTTCTTATAGAGTTTACTTAGATCTCAGCATTTATTTTATAACATAATCTTAATACTTTAGTATACCTCTGTCTTTTTATTTACCTTTTTATCAAACTTTCAATTTAGATAGCCTATATAGAACTACAACTAGTCCATTAGTATATTAAATTAGTTTGATATTCTTTTTCTTCAATTCATTCTAGTAGTCTAATTGGTGGTACTTCTGAGACTTCCAACTCAGAGGTTCTTGTCCATCATTCTACTACAACTGAGTACTATGATCTTAGTATTCATTTTTTCAAGCTAGCCTTTATAGTAGGGTCATTAAAGATCTAACTACCTCTTTCCCAGATCTTTTCAAATAAACTTTTTGTTATCTAATTTTAACAGATTTATATAATTACAAGAACTTATCTAGTATTTGTACTGCCTAATTGTTAGTTTTCATTCTTTTATATAACTACAAACCTTATCCTAAAGGACAATATTACATGACTGTTATATGAATGCCTTATGTCTTGTTAGTCATGCTGATATAATTATTATTACAGATATTTTAACTCAATTATTAGTAACAGTTATTATAATATGAATATTACATAGATAATTATTTAAATTTTTATTATCAATGAGATTTGAACATCCAATCTATTACTTGAAGTGTTAATAATTTGACTATTTCACTAGGTTACTATACTTATAATTATAAATAATTATAATTACTATTAATTAGTAATAATTATATAAATTTTATTAAATTTTTTTAAACTTTAAATTTAGTTTTTTTGATAACTAGTAATTCAAATTAAATTAAATTTTTATTATAAATAGTATACATATTTAATTATATTATATTAAAATTTTAGTTATTAACAAATCAAATAATCAAACAATTATTTAAATTGATTTTAAAAAAATTCTAGTTTTAATTAATATATATAATACTACTTTCTCTCAACTACCTTTTTTATTATAATTGCAAATAATTTTATTATCTTATAATATTTAATTTATTCAACAATTTGTTCATTTATTAATATATCAAAAACAATTAACTGACCTCAAGTATCTTATTTTTCAATTTGACACAAACAAACTACATTTTTATACTAATAGATTAATTATAAATCTTCAAACTTTAGATGTAAAATCTGATATAAAATAAATTTGCAAATATAATACATTAATAAAATTCAATGCAACTATACAATCTTATTCTGACTCAACCTATACTAAACTTAAAACAGTTTTTTATCTTCTATTTGCAGTTTTATCTGATATTTTTTTAAATATCTATATTAATAACACAACTGCTATTAAAAATCTTGAATAATCTATTACTTTCAAACCTATATAAATTAAAAACTGTGATATCATCTACTATATTAATTATCTTAAATATTTTAAAAACATTACTATCACCTTTTATAAAGTCAAATCACATTCTATAGACTCTTTCTATAACCAAGCAGATTAATTTGCTAAACAAGAAACTTTAAAATTTATTATTAAGTTCAATAATTTAAAATTTATATTTCAAATTTCTTTTTATAAACCAATTTTCCAATTTCTTTTAAAGTTTATATTTTTATTAAAAATACTATAACTATTTAAAAAATTATCAAATAATCAAATTTGAAATTTTTTCAAAACATTACTAATATTAAATAATTTTTTCTATTTAAAATTATCTCTTTACTTAAAGATAACTTACAAAGATACTCTTTTTATATTAAAATTCTTACTAATAACTTATCTATCTTAATATTTGTTATCTCTACTTTTATATTACACCTTATTGTTCTTATTACATAAATATTAAAGATACTTTTCATTTATTCTCATTTCCTAGTATAATGATTAGAAACTGATCAACAACGCATTAAACCTAAAGAGATCGATTACATAATTGTTTAACAAATGTATGTAGCATAGTTAGTAGATTTAGCAGAAACCGCATATACAGTAGATTTAGAATAACTAGCATATTTAGCAGATATGTAAATAATATATAAAGCACAAAGCATTTGTAAGGAGAAACATAATCCACATATACTCTAATAAAGCATATGCTCTGCCAAATCCACGTCCTCTTTCATAGTAGTATTGTTTAATGTTACACAAGCCAACCTGGGATACCCTATGAATAGGAATTTTTAAGCGAGCAATTATTCAGAGTATTACACTAGCAATACTACAAATATTTTACAATTATTCAAAAACATTATATATAACATTCTTTTATCACTTCAAATTACTAATATAATCTTAATAACTCTATTAAATATCCTTTTAAATTTTACACTTTATCTTTCAAATTCTCAATACAAATATATTTTATATACTATTATTAGAACTTATTCTACTACTATATATAAGAATATCAAAACACTTATCAATAAATAAACAGATAATTTTCTACTTTAATCTACTTAACTAGTATCACTAAGATCTTTAATTTACTCTTAACATATATTAATATCAATAGAAAAATTCTTGCAACATTACATCAAAGTTCAAACATACTAAAATCAGTCTACTAACTTTATCCAATTCTTCAAACAATACTAAAACTTTTTTTTATCTAAAAATATTAAACCTTTAATTACAAAATGGCTCTTACAGAATCACTCTTTAACAACTTATATAACTTAATGTTTAGACAATTATTCAAAGGCTTCTTCTAATTTATTCTAGTT